CAAGAAATATTGTGGAGATATGGTAACTTAATTCACACACGTGAGCCTTCCGACATAAAAATCACATTACATCTTGCAATTGATACAGGATCTCATAAATCTATTTATACGCCGCCATACCATCGATCCTACCAAGCTGAACAAACACTTACGCAAGAAATGTCTAAATTATTTCTTCCTGGAATCGTCGCGCACCCAACATCGCCATGATTATCGCCTGTCGTGCTAGTAGAAAAGAAAGACGATGATATTCGCTTTGTGTCGACTTCAGCAAACTAAACGAAATAACGATTTTCGTTTGGAATTTTAATTTGAACGACATTCTTCACCTGCGACAATCGCTATCAGTTTACGGTATTACCCCAAGGTGCCACAAATGATTCCTTCACTTTTCAGCGTAGCAAATTCTTGAATCCACTCGGTGAAAGTATAGCGGTTATTATTTATTCCTGATCATTTGACGATATTCTAGACCGTCTGAGCGAAGCGAACTTCCGTCTCAATATTGACAAATTCAATATGACACATCAAGCAATTAGTTTTCTTGGTCACCAAATTGAACCATGCTTGATCCAGGAAACATCCGTGGTTTCCTCGACACCCCTTACAAACAAATTTTTAAAAATCCTTGTTTCCAAAATTTGTTTGATCTGGCTTTTAACGACCGATCAAAATTGCTAATTTTCAGTAAAATTGATAACTGTTCTTTTTCTTGAAAACAAAATTAAGAGCGTTTCATATGCTATTCGATAGGGAAATGTTTGGACTGTAAATGATTTTATTCTCTCTTTTGAACAGTCTTATGTTTCTCTATCAAGTGGTATACAATTAGATATTTAAAATTCATAATTTGGACACTTTGATCACAGATTCGCAATGTGACGTTACTAAATTGCAAGAAATCCGGATATTTATTTTGAGATATCAAAACTATCTTTTTATCATTGACTGCAGCTAAATTCGTTTCCTATTTTACTTTACTTTGTTAGTCTATTCCAATTTGAGCTTTCGAACACCGATTCATCATCAGCGTTATAAGAATATAATTACTGTTTAAAACATTTAAAAACTGCACAATCAATACGTAAGCACGTCAAAGATATAAAGTTATGATTTCGGCTAACAACGTTTGTTATTCTTTATAAGAAATTATAGAGGATTTTCTTATTGTTATAATTGTCTAGAGAAGTCACACTTCATTTTTACTTCTACAGAATGCAAATGTGTTCTTTCATTCTTCTTTTCGATTTTTTATATTTGATCTACACAAGTGCCTGTGTTTTTTTTGTTTTTTTATTGTTTTGATAGTAATGAATTGATAATAACGCTACAGTTCTTAATTCTATTGGTTATTCAAATTTGATTTAAACTATTTTTATTTGGAGAGGAATAAAACCGAAAACGGATCGGGTTGTGTACATCGGACAGTTCCATAAAAGAAAGAAGCGTAATAACAACCATGGCAGGAAATGAAAAAGAAAAAAACTGAGAATATGTTTTTGAAGCAAACTAGAGCAGAGAAGAGATAAACAGAGTAAGTTGTATTTTGACCATCGTTCACGATGACAATGCGAATACCTAGGGAGAGTTAGTGTGCACGAAGTGATTGTATGTGAATTACATATCCGCTATAGGTTTCGTGTAACGGATAGAAGAAATCGACCTCTCAGTATTTTGTGTTTTTCTCTGTTTTTAAGTCCGATTGCGTCGGTCTTCTTTAGATCTCCGTTCAACTCTCTACAGAAAATGTGGCAGTGTGTTGTGGGGGTTGGGCGCGGAGGCGCTAGAGCAGTGTGAGAGTGAGTTCGAAAAGTAGTACCACACAAAAGATATTTGCTGGACATACTGTGAATTTACTCTATCTGTTTAAGTAGTTATCTGGTATGAAATTAGTTCATGATGAAGTTATATCAAAATTGTAGTAACGAGTAAACTCATTAACATCAGATGTTTTGTTACTTTTCTAATGTTTAGTTTTGTTAACATCTATTTTCAGAAATTCGTGCAGGAGTCGTGCGCTCAAAGTCGGTACATCAACCATTTGTGAGTTTTTCTTATAAAAATCCTTTAATCCATATACTGCAGACTACGAACATCATATTCACACCGACTAAGCGTCAAGGCATATATCTATAGTCCTCTGTAATCAAATTCATATTGACTCAATGATTTTATCACTAACTCTTAGCGGCGGAGCCAGGATTTTTATCTCGGGTGGGCTCAGCCCGTATGCTTTCTAAAAAACCCAAGAAGGGTATTGTTTATTTTTTATCGGAACCAAGAACTGTCCCTGAGGTCGAAAATTAGGGTGGGCTCAGCCCACCCCTGGCTCCGCCGCTAGTGGATAGAGGAAAAAAATCAGTAGCGAAAAGTTCAATCATTTACAGATTTTTCAACTTTTTCGGCAAACCAATTCATTGGATGAAAGTTTTAAATTCAAACAAGAATTACACGAGATGTTAATTTCTCTTTTCGTTTTTTTACCATTATATAGATATTTAAGATTCGAAATTTTCTTCGAAACGTCGAGAGTTATTTAAAAAAATGGTTGCTTGCCGGAAAAAAAGACTTGATCACAAGGAAAAAAGAATCTAATGCAGTTTTTCACGCTCTTTCCGAGGTATAATCAAAACTTTTTGCGAACACCATCATTTTTCAGCTAATGAATTTTATTTAAAAAATCGAATTTATATCCCAATCGGGATATATTTTAATTCAAAACAGGATATATATCCGGATAGAGATATAGAGCATGCTCCTCTACTGTAAAAGGCTTTTCATTTTTACCTGTACTTTTTTCAATAGAATTTAAAATTTCTTTTGAATTCATTTCGAAGCCTTTTTTCAACAGTTTTGTTAAGTCTTTCGACTTACTGCCCTGGTACTTTCTTTTTCTTTTCGTGTTATAGTTCACTTTGTTTTTTCATTGTTATTAGATCTAGATATTTTCTTTTTCGTAGCGGGAAAAATCCCAGTTGTTAGTGTATATATACTTAGTACACCCTGTCTTTTCAAAGACAGAGAAGAGTGATCAGTTAACTATATGTGTGTGTGTTAGTTTGTGTTCTACCGTTTGTATTTTTTCCACGTCTTTTTCAAATACATTATATTATACCGTATTAGCATTATCTTTGGTATCATATCTTATTGGAGTGGGTGAGTAGAGTTTTTGCTAGTTTGCTCTCCACACGGGGCAGATATTATTTCTTTGGATAGAACAACAGAGCAACTTTAGCAAGTGGGGGGGAATACCTTGTTGTTTAATTTGAATTCCATATAATTCATATTTAATCGCTCTTATTTTGAGAGACAGTGCAGAAACACAATATAACATCTAACTGTAAATGTAATCGCTCACTATAATTGGGAGACGATGTATGCATATAGACTAAATTACAAACATCGTTTTTGATTGCTCTCTACGGAACTAGTATAATTAATCGCTCTTCTTTCGGAGACGGTATTGTTTACTAGTGAGTCTGTAGTTGTAAACCGTGTAAATAATTCGAAGTATACGTCACATGCCACACGATCAAAAATTAATTTCAATCATATTCCCATAAGTGCTTTGCAATATTACCCACCACAACGATATCGAGTCAATTTGACTTCAATAGTAGGGAAAGACCCTCGTAGACAATCAAAAATATTTTCACCTTTCTCGGATAATGTTCGTGCAAATTTAATATCAATACCATCAATTCCATTTGATTTAAACGAAGTAGAAGAAGAAGCAAACAATCGAAGGATAACCATGGATGAGCAACAGCAACATTTTGAGAACGAGAACAAAGAACAGTTGGAAGAATTTGATAAAGCT